CGGCGTCGACCTGTGCCGAATTCAACCACTGGTTTGGGTGGTCCTGACCAAACTTGAGAATTCTCTAGCTCGGTCAAATCGAAGTCGATTTGGTTGATTTTTGGACGAATCGATTGCTCTCGTCGAGTTCTCGAAGCACGGCCGAAGAGGTTGCGTCGAAATTGTCGCGTACGCTCACATTGAAGTCGGGTTGAAGATTTGAATTCGGCACAGGCGTCGACGAGCGCCAAGTACAGCGCGTCGCCGTCGGCCTCCCAGCCGCAGCGGAGCGCGCGCGGCGGCACGGCGCCGCCGGCGCACGCTTCGAAACCCAAGGCCTCGCCGCAGAGCGTCTCGAAGACGTCGAAGGACCGCACGCCGCCGCCATAGGACACGCGCAGGGACCCCTCGACGATCGCGCCCGCGTGGAGCCCGCCGTCGACGGCCGCGCGGCCGACGCGCGCGCCGTCGAACGTCGCCGCGCCACCGAGGCCGTCGGCCGGGTCGCGCGCCCAGCGCACGCGGCGCCTCAGGCGCGCGTCGAGCGCGTCCGCCGCACCGCGCGACGCGGCCGCCGACGTCGCCGCGAGCGCCAGCGCGTCCGCGCGCTCGACCCAGCCGCCGGCGAGGAAGAGCGCGCGCGCGCCGTCGACGGCCAGGACCTCGCGCACGACGCGGTTCTCGAAGCGGAAGGTGCGGAACTTCGCATCGTCGCTCTCGGACGGCAGCCGCAGCGCCTTGCGCAGGCGCCGCACGGCCGCCACGAGCACGTCGTCGCTCTGGGCGAGGAGCGTCGTGAGGGCGGCTTGGAGGGCTGCATCGTCGGAGAACTGCGACATCGTCTCGCGAAATGCGGGCGTCCTGGCGCTGCCAAGCCTCACAAAGCACCCATGCCCTTGTGGTGAAAAAGCCGGACTTGAGCGAGCGGTGCACCGAGAGCGCGGCGAGGTGTGGCGGAGCTGCAGGCGCCTCGCAAGCACAAACGATGGCAGACGACGACAATTTCACGCCGCGGCCGGCGCCGTCGGCGCCGACCGTCCCAAAAAAATTCAAGTTTAAAGTCTCGCGGCCGGCGGCGCCGCCGCCGGCGCCCGTCGCACCACCGGCAGCGCCGCCATCGATGATGCGCTTCACCGTCGGCTCGAAGCGCGAGCGCGAGGCCGCGCCGCCGGAGCCGGAGGAGCCGACGCCGGACCTGCTCGCGGGCCGCAAGCGCGCGCGCTACGAGGGCCCGCTGCGCGTCGCGCGGGTCTCGGTCCGCGTCGGCGGCCGCGTGCTCCGCGACCCGTCGGGCGCGGTGCCGGCGCTCGAGGCGGCCATGCCCGCCGCGGCGGCGCCCGCGCCGCGGCGGCGGCGGCGCGACCCGGACGCGGACCAGCTCGTGCAGCTCGAGGGCGACCTGAAGCGCGAGCCCGGCGGCGGCTGGGCCTGGTCCGGCCGCTGGGCCGAGAACTTCGCCAAGCTCGAGGCCGGCGACGACGGCGCCTTTGCCATGAGCGGCCCCGGCGACGACGGCCCGCTGCGGACGCTCGAGCTCGGCGGGAGCTTCGACCTGCGCGTGCCGACGGCGTCCGGCTCGGCCGTCAAGGCCATCAAGGAGCGGGGCGTCGAGCTCCGCTTCAAGTCCGAGGACGCGTCGGGCTGGCGCGCCGTCGAGGGCCGGGGCCGCAACGAGTTCGGCGACTTCCGCGTCGTCGGCTTCTACGACCCGGCGTCGGGCGCGTTGTCCGTGAGCAAGGACTACGCGGTCACGCAGTACAAGGTCGACTCCGAGGACGACGACGACGGCGACGCGCGCGTCTTCGACGGCGACTACGTCGCGGACCCGTCGTCGCCCAAGGTCGAGAAGAAGAAGAAGAAGAAGGAGAAGAAGGAGCCCAAGGCGCCGCCCCCGGAGAAGCCCAAGCCCACGTACACGAAGGTGTCCAAGGCGCCCGTGGCCTACACGAAAGTCTCCAAGGCGCCGCCGGCCGTCGCGGCGGCGCGGCGCGAGGCCGCGCCCGACGCCGCGCCCGCGCCCGCGGAGGAGGAGCACCGGCGGCTGCCCTTCGACGGCGCCGCGTTCCCGCCGCTGCTCCAGCCGTTCCGGGGCTTCGCCGAGGGCACGGCCGAGGCCGAGCGCGTCGCGGAGCAGTGGCGCGCGCTCTCCGACGTCCTCGCGAGCGGCGAGCTCATCCCCGAGGAGGAACCACCCGAGGACACGCCGCGGAACCGGCTGCTCCAGGAGCTCTGGACGCGGACGCGCGAGGAGTCGCTGCTCCGCGTCGCGCGCGAGAAGCGCGCCGCGGAGAGCCGCGAGCGCAAGATCGCCGAGGCGAGCGCGCTCGCGGCCGCGGAGCGCGAGGCGGGCCTCGCGGAGCTCGAGCGGCGCCGCGAGGACGAGGAGGAGCGCGCGCGCCGCGACGCCGAGGCCGAGGACGAGGCGAAGCGCGACGCGGACGCGGAGCGGAAGCGCCGCCGCGAGGAGGCGCGCCGCAACCGCGACAAGCTCGAGCAGACCGTCGACCTCGACAAGCAGCGCCTCGCCGTGTCGTCCTTCCTCGAGCAGCACCGCGCGGAGGGCGGCGACGAGTTCGGCGAGTAAACATTAGGGCTTCACGCGGGGCCGCGCGTAGGCGTCGAGCGACGCGGCGAGGCCCGCCGCCGCGCCCGGCGACCGGTCGCCGAAGACGAACGTCGCGGCGTCGTCGCCGGCGCGCTGGACCTTGACGGCCACGACGCGCGCGTCGGGCCGCTCCCAGGAGCAGACCTCGTTCCGCGCGTAGCGGTCGAGCAGTTTGGCGTGGTCGACGGGATCGAAGAGCCACAGCCCCAGCGCGTTGACGGCGACGAGCACGCCGTCGTCCGGGAGCCGCCGCGCGATCTCGATCGCCGCGGCGCTCTGCGCCGCGTGGCCCGCGTCGAGGCGCGCGCGGAAGAAGTGGGCGCCGTAGAGGTCGAGCTTCTTGACCACGTCCACGAAGCTCCGATGGAGCACGCGGAGCGGCGTCGCCGGGTCCGGCAGCCGCGCCAAGGCCTTCTTCGCCAACTCCGCCGGCGGCGTTTGCTCGAAGCGCGGCGGGAAGAACTCGGCTATCGTAATGTCCTCCATGGCCAGGAGGCCGTCCACCGTCGTCGGGACGTCCTCGCCGAGGCTCACGGCGAGCCCGAAGGCCGCGAGCTCCGCCGCGGCCGCGTCCGACACGGGGAGGCAGCCCTCGTTGAGCACCGCGTCCTCGGCCTGCGCGTAGGTGAGCATCTCGAAGGTCGCGTCGCTGGACCGGCTCGGCTCGTCCGCAAAAAGGGCCAGGCGCTTGTAGACGACGTGCGGCGGTGGCGCCCAGCCGCGTGCGGCGTCGCCGGGGTAGTCCGAACGCCCGAGCGGGATCGAATCGCCGTCGGCGACGACGAAGAGGCCGAAGGTCGCCGCGCGGTTGTCCTTGAGCTGGAGGAAGACGCGCCCCAAGATCTCGGCGACCTTGGACGCCGGCGTCTGGGGCGTCACGGGGAACCGCGGCGCGAGCGGCGACCCGTCCGCGAGCTCGACGGCGATGACGCACCTGGGCAGGAAAAGAGTGCGACATTCCCAACTTTGGAGGCTCCTATCTCGGTCGTTTTCCACTCGTTTCGGCTAATTTTTGGACGAGCGATCATCTCTCGGAGCGGTCTCGAAGCGCGGATGCTGTTTCCAGAACGCGCGCGCGCGGAACACTCATGTTGAAGCGAACTTGAATCACTCGTTTCCTGCCCTGATGACGCACGGCGGCCTCTCGTCGTACGCGGCCATGTCCTCCGCGGACGGCGCCACCGCGTAGGCCGCGCCGGCCTCGAGGCAGCCGAGCATGGCCGTCGCGCCGAAGGACGCGTAGTCGTGGCTCGGCCGCGGCTCGCGTGTGTCGCACGTGTAGCAGAAGTGGAAGCAGTATTTCGCGAGTTCGCGGCTCGGCGGGAACGTGACCGCGCAGGCGCAGAAGAGCTTCCAGAGCGCGTCCAGGGAGCGCACGATGGGGTTGCCCGTCGCCAGGGCCATGATCTGGCAGTAGATCTCGTCGCGGAGCGCCTCCGTCTGCAGGCCCCGCTCGACGACCGCGGCGCCGAGCTCCGGCCGCGGCGCCGTCGCCGTCGCGTAGGCCCAGATCTTGTCGTGGAGCTCCAGCGCCGCCTCGCCGAGGGCCTCGCCGAGCTCCGTGAGCGACTGCTCCAGCGGGTCGCTCGCCATGCGCAGCAGGTGCCTCGACTCGCGCCGCAGGCCGCCGTAGCGCGCGAGCTCGTAGCAGTCCCGCGCGCACTCGTCGGGAGCGTAGGTCTCGCCGAGACCCGCGCCGTCCTCCTCGACGGGCACGACGCGGCCCTCGTCCTTCTCGCCGACGAGCCGCCGCACGCCGCTCAGCGACGGCATGAACGACGCCATTCTCCGTTGGGCTGCGTCCAAACGCGAGGGGCAAGATAGGGGCAGCGTCGCGGCACCTTGAACTTCAGAGAAGCATGGCTCTCCTGCAACTAAACGCGCTTACCACCCGTCGAAGTTGGACATGGGCTTGGGCTTCTTCTTCTTCGTCGGGGCCGTGGCGTCGGGCAGGTCGCCGCCCTCGGCCGCGCGCTTGGGCAGGTAGCGGCCGACGGACCCCGCCGTGTGGGGCGCGTTCGCGAGCGCGCGCGGCGGCGGCGCCGCGGCGGGCGCGGCGGCGGGCGCGTCGCGCTTCGCGATGGCCTCGCGCACCTCGGCCTCGAAGGCGGCGTCGGCCTCCGCCGTCGGGTCCACGAAGACCGTCGCGCCGAGGATCGTCACGTCGTCGCGGGGCCGGTGGTCGTCGGCGTCGTCGACGGGCACGTTCTCGATGCGCGTGAGCGTGTCGTGGCCGCCGACGACCTTGCCGAAGACCGTGTGCTTGTTGTCGAGGTGGGTCGCCGATTTCAGGGTCACGTAGAACTGGGACCGGTTCCGGTTCAGGCCGTCGTTCGCGTAGGCGAGCACGCCCCGCTCCGAGTGCAGCAGCCGCGAGTCGAACTCGTCGTCGAAGCGCGCGCCCCAGAGCGACTCGCCGCCCGTGCCCGCGCCCGTCGGGTCGCCGGCCTGGGCGACGAAGTGGCGCACGACGCGGTGGAACGGCGACCCGTCGTAGTAGCCCTTGGCGCACAGCCCCAGGAAGTTCTCCGCGGCCCGGGGCACCATGTCGGCGTGGATCTCCACGTTCAGGTTGCCGTGGGACGTGCGCAGCTGCGCGTAGCCCTTCTTGCCCAGGCCCCGGAGCCGCTTCCAGCGCGCGGTCTTGAGCTCGTCCTCCGTCGCGTCCCGGAGCTTCGCGGACGTCTCGACGGACAGCGCGCTCGACGTGAAGGACCCGGACGTCGCGCCGGACGTCAGCTTGGAACCTTTCAGGATCTCGTCCGTCGTCGCGCCGAGCGTGCGGACCCGGAGGAAGGCCTCCGTGAGCCCCTTGTTCCGCGGGAGGTCCGGGTCCGCGTCGGCCAGGCGCTTCGCGGCCTGGGCAGCAAAAGGGTGCGAAATTCCCAACTTCAAAGGCTCATATCTCGGCCGATTTCCACTCGTTTTGGCTGATTTTTGGACGAGCGATCATCTCTCGGAACGGTCTCGAAGCGTGGATGCTTTTTTTGGAACGCGCGCGCGCGAAACACTCACGTTGAAGCGACGTTGAATCACCCTTTTGCTGCCCTGTTCGCGGCCTCCTTCGCGGACCGCGCCTCCTCGGCGGCGGCGACGTTGCGCTTCGCCTCGTCGAGCACGGCCCGCGACGAGTCCGACGTGCGGATGTGGTCCTCGGGGCGGCTCGTCGCGAGCCGCGCCTCGCGCGCCTCGCGCTCCTCGCGGAGGTGCGCGAAGTTGGCCAGATCGCGCCGCGCGCAGAGCGCGGCGTCCTCCGGGTCGTGGATCATGACGAGGTCGGCCTTGGCGAAGGGCGTGCCGTCCAACAGATCCGCGAGCTGGCCCCGCTTGAGGCAGAGCTCCCTGACGGCCTCGTAGGAGAAGACGTTGCCGGTCGTCGCGACGGCGACGACCTTCGTGAAGTTGTTGAAGGCCTTGCAGGTCACGGGGCAGTGCCAGTGCCCGTCGCCGTTCTTCGCCATGCGCAGGCGGAGCACGTCCTTGACTTTTAAGGACGCGCCCGTCACGGGCGACTTGCCCCGCTCCTTGACGAAGGGGAGCAGCTGCAGCGCGTCGAAGAGGACGCCGTCGCGCGCGCAGCAGGGGCTCTCGAAGGGCAGCAGGCTCAAGGCGCAGCACTCGAAGGGCAGCGACCCCTCGAGCTTGCCCTCGCGCTTCTTCTTGTAGCCGCCGCCGTCGCGCGCGTGCTCCGTGGCGGTCACGAACATGCGGTCCTTGCTGTGCTGGTTGCGGCCCATGGCGGTCGGCGGCGGCGGCGCGCGCGGGCGCAGTTGTGGTGTGGGTGCGTGCGGGTGGTGCGCGAAGGCGCCAAGAGCGCGGCGTCGACGAGCTACGGGCGCTCAGAGTCGCGCAAGGAGCGGCTCCATTGCCTCGCCGGCTTGTCGAGACCGCCACAGACCTCGCCGGCGCCGCGCGCCGCGTCGTCGAGCGCCAGCACCTGCTACATCGCCCGCGCCCGTCGCGCCGCCAGGTCCGCGAGGCCCGAGCGCTGCGTCGCCAGCGCGCTCGCGCACGCAGCCATGTCGGCCATGGAGCTCGACGGCGCGCCCCCCACCACCAACGAGTCCGACGACGACGAGGAGCAGTTCGTCGCGGCGCGCGAGTTCACGGCCGCGGAGCGCGAGGAGGCCGAGCGCCTCCACCGCACGGCCGTGCGCGCCGAGGCGCTCGCGGCCGCGCAGAGCGCGGCGAAGGAGCGCGGCGTCGCGCTGAGCAACGAGGAGAAGGACAAGATCGTCGAGGCCAAGGCGGCGAAGCCCAGGTTCCTGAGCAAGGCCGAGCGCGAGGCCGCGGCGCTCGCGCGGCTCGAGGCCAAGCGCGCGGAGCGCGACGCCGCGGCCGCGGCCGCGGCGCGGGACCGGAAGAAGGGCGCGCGCGGCCGCTTCTCCGCGCCGCCGCCGCCGCGGGACCCCGGCGGCGCCGCCGACGCCGCGCGCCTGCCGCGCGTGCCCCAGTACGAGGAGGCCGACGAGCCCCTCTACCCGACGAAGAAGCCGCGCAAGGACATCCACGGCCGCGCGCCCGCGCCGGCGCCCGCGGCCGTGCCCGCGTCCGTCGCCGAGGCGCGCAACACGGAGAAGGAGCTGCGCCTCATCCGCGAGAACTACCTCGGCAAGGGCCCCAAGCAGAAGAAGGTCGTCAAGCCGTCGGAGAAGTTCGCGCGCATCTTCCAGTTCGACTGGGACGCGAACGACGACACGTCCGCGGACCTGAACCCGCTCTACGCGCGGCGCCACGCCGTGCAGCCGCTGCTGGGCCGGGGCTACGTCGCGGGCCTGGACATGCGCGAGCAGCGCAAGACCCAGACCTTCGCGTCCGTGCTCAGCGACAAGCGCATGGCCGAGGCGCGGCGCCAGGAGGAGGACGAGGGTCTGGCGCGCGCGGAGCGGAAGCGGCGCGAGGACGCGCGCAAGGAGGAGCGCGAGCGGCTGCGGCGCGACATGGCCGCGGAGACGGAAAAGGTGGAGAAGGCCGCGCTCGGCCGCGAGCTGCTCCACTGGACCGACAAGGCGCTGGGGGACATGACGGACCGCGACTGGCGCATCATGAAGGAGGACTTCGACATCCGCATCCGCGGCGGCAAGGCGCCGCTGCCCCTCCGCTTCTGGGGCGAGGCGGACCTGGGCGAGCCGCTGTTGATGGCGATCCGCGACGCGGGCTACAAGGAGCCGTCGCCGATCCAGCGCCAGGCCATCCCCGTGGGGCTGGAGCTGCGCGACATCATCGGCGTCGCCGAGACGGGCTCGGGCAAGACGGCGGCCTTCTGCATCCCCATGATCCGCTACATCTCCAAGCTGCCCGCGGCGCGCATCGCGTCGCTCGCCGACGACGGGCCGCTCGCTTTGGTCATGGCGCCGACGCGCGAGCTCGCGACGCAGATCGCCGGCGAGTGCAAGAAGCTCACGGCGCACATGGACATGAACGTGACGACCGTCGTCGGCGGCATGTCCATCGAGGACCAGGCCTTCGTCCTGCGCGAGGGCGTCGAGATCATCGTCGGCACGCCGGGCCGCATCCAGGACTGCCTCGACACGCAGTACCTCGTGCTCAACCAGGCGAACTACGTCGTGCTCGACGAGGCGGACCGCATGATCGACATGGGCTTCGAGCCCCAGGTCCACTCGATCCTCGAGGAGATGGGCGGTTTGCTACTATCCGAGGACGACATCGAGATGGAGCAGCAGCGCCTCGCCGTCCAGCGCGGCGAGGCCTGCTACCGCATCACGGCCATGTTCTCCGCGACGATGCCGTCGGCCGTGGAGAAGCTCGCGAAGAAGTTCCTGCGCCACCCGGCCATCGTCTGCATCGGCGACGAGGACAGCGGCAAGAACAAGCGCATCGCGCAGCACGTGCTCTACATCGCCGAGGCCGCGAAGAAGAACGCGGTCGTCGACATCCTCCGGAAGAAGAAGGCCCAAGACAAGTACCTCGTCTTCTGCAACGAGAAGAAGGGCTGCGACGCCCTCGCGAAGGTCCTCTCGACCGCGGGCCTCCGGTCGTCCGTGCTCCACGGCGGCAAGACCCAGGAGCACCGCGACGCGACGCTCGCGGCCTACAAGGCCGGCTCCGTGACGGTCCTCGTCGCGACGGACGTCGCGGGCCGCGGCCTCGACATCCCGGACGTCGCGCACGTCGTCAACTACGACATGCCCCTCAAGATCGAGAACTACAGCCACCGCATCGGCCGCACGGGCCGCGCGGGCAAGGACGGCGTCGCGACGACGCTCCTCACCGACTCCGACGAGGCCATGATGTACGACCTGCGCCAGTACCTCGAGCAGACGGACGCGCAGATCCCCGAGCGCCTCGAGAAGAACCCCGCGGCGCACGCGAAGCCCGGCGAGCGCAACGACCGCGGCGAGCTCCTGACGAACCGCCTCGGCCGCAACAAGACCGAGTTCCTGCGCGAGGACAAGTTCGCCCAGGGGT